ACTTCTCCCAAGTAGAATTCAGTACTAGTGAGTAGTAACTTTTTTTTAGAGTGTACGAGCAAAATTATGACACTGGCTGGCAAATGTTTCCGGTGCTCTACCGGAATCCTAGGACCCGATCGCATAAATTTCCCATTCGTTATGAATAATGCATCTCTTCATCCAATTTTAATAGACAGCTAACGTGCACTGTGTTACACAAGATTATAATTTTAGAACACATTTGTATGAGACAATTACAAACCTGAGCTAAAAAAAGCCAATCCTGATAGATTCACTCGCATGTTGAAGGGTTCGGTTAAATAATCAGTATCTCAATCTGAGATTCAAAAACCATATTTGAGATGCTAATAAAGGTGCACCAATACCTAAAATTATTATATATATGTCTGAAAACAATACTATGGAGGGTGAAGGATCTACAATACTTTCGAGATATAATTTTTCAAGCTCTGAATGAAAAAATCCGTTACCGAGTATCTAGAATTGACCTGTCATTTGACATGGGAAATTCTTATACAAGTTTATGAAATTTACAATACAGGATAGTGTAAATGGCTTCTTACAGACGTATGGTAATTTACGTCTAGAAATTTGTAACAGTGTATAGTTTACGGATTCAGGGGAACATTAGTGGGTGATGATGGGTGGATTCAGAGGAATGATCCATTGATTGAACATAACTCTACATTTGAGATTTTTGTCATCATTTTAACAATTGTTTTTAATTTATAAGTTCATGTATTCATTTCAATGAAACTGTTTGAATTATATGTAAAAAATTTATTAATCCTAAGTAAATCCAATCTTACTATTGAATGAATAATTTATTTGTTTCAAAAAAAGGATTCAAATCAATGCTTCAATTTCTGGTTAATAAACTCTTTCTTATTATCATGGAAGTATTTGTTTATATTAAAAAAACTGTTTATTTGATTTGAATAAAAACGCGAATGAACATCAATTTAAGAATCCAAGCTTTATTACGAGCGATTTGAATAAACTCATTTATTTCATTCAAATAAATCGCTTCTCTGGTTGTGAGAAAGGTTGACTCATTGACTAATATATTTGTCTAGGAGAATTACCGTTATTGACTAGTTGTTTAACTGTAAAATGTGAATTTTGCCATAAATTAACTGGATTTTTGAGAATTATTATTAATTTTAAAAAATTGTTAATTCAAATTGTGATTGGAAGTCTCTTGATTCAAAATTCTTTCTCATTAGCAATTTTTCTTCGTGAAATGTTTTGCCTTCATCATTCTGTTTAATGATAAAACCTATTTTCTAATCAATCAACAAAGTTCCACCTGAAATTATTATCAATTTTTCAAATGCAATAATAAAAATCTTATACGAACATGAAAAATGCCTAAATTATCATAATGATTAGCATAAAAAATGAAAAATTATTTTCTCCATCTCCAAACAAAGCCTTCCATATTATTCTTTCATTTTTTAATTCACATTGTGTTCATATTTAATACAGACAATACATTTTTCAAACCTTTTCGTTATAGAATATGATGTCCGAGGGCTAGTTTTTAACATGTATACACACACGTTCCTGCGCTTATGCTAATTTTCACCGCCTCATTCAGACGAGGACACATACGGTTCCGGAGTTGGAGGGGTTCCTCGGATGTCCGAACAAATCATGGTGTCACCGGCTCGTCACTGTCAGGCAGGATTAAAATCCAGTCTCCACGTTCCTTTTTTTGCCTCCTTTTATTCCATTCAGGGGACACAGGGTGGTGATAGGAATAATGACACGGGCGTCACTCTAAACATGTGAATAGTGTGGTACTGGAGCGGGGAAGGATTATCGGGGGGTTTCGAAAACATTGTGATATTTTTTTTACGATCAATGTAGTTTGACGAAACAAGCGGCTAAATGCATTGGGTTTAACGCAGGCTCGGTGGGTTAATTGGAAATGTGTCGTATGCAATTTATATCGCGGTAAGCCGTTCTGTGTAACGAAAAATCGAATATTTTCAACGATTAACCATTTTTAAGAGGACTTTATTTCCAATGCAATGACATTTCCATTTTGTCATTTCATAATTCTTCATTTTAATGAACAAAACATGGAAAAAGACGGGATATATCATTCACAAACAAATGTCAATTAACATGCGTCATATGCAGTTGATATCGATTTGATAATTTCAGATAAAACGAAAAATTGAATACTTTTGACGATTAACAAGTTGGAATTGCATTTTCCATCAATTTTTCTTTTTGTTTCTTCTCATAGGTTTTTATCGTATAACATCAAAATGTTCCCATTCATTCAATTGTAGAATTTGAACATTGACTTCTACTTTAAACTGAGAAAGAATAATTTCAAATTATCGATACTTGTTGCGGTTTGTGGATTTGCAATTTTTTCTTTTTTGATTTTCCATCTTTCATTTATAAAAATGAAATAACATACGGAATATAATCCGCAAACACATGTGAATACGCATCCAAGTGTTTTAATTTATCATTTTCCAGTGCTGTTTCAAATAATTGACAATTGAATATTACTTTTAGATAAAAAAAAGTTTATTTCTAATATAATGGCATTTCCATTTTGTCATTTCACAATTTTTCATTTCATTTCTTCTTACAGTTTTTATCCTATAACATCAAAATTTGCCCATTCACTCAATTTTATAATTAACAAATTGGTATCCGGAAACTGAGAAAAAAAATTTCAAATTAAAAATACTTTTAGCGGTTCGGGGAATTGCAAATTTTTTCCTGTTTGATTTCCCATCTTTAATTTAAAAAAATAAAATAGCATATGGAATATAATTCATAAACGTATACACCTAAATGTGCATTTAAGGTTTTTAATTTATCACCCCTCAATATTCACAACTGAATCCATAAAAAAGAAAAAAAATCTCCAGGAAAATTCAAAATTCAACTTTTGAGTAATTACCCCGAATGCTCTAGCACGCGGCGATCGTTAGACGCATGTTAGTATGATCGATGCACTTTAAACGAGCCCAATATTGTGATTACCAAATCGTGAAAGGACAAGAGCCCTCGTCACCGATGGGACATCCATTGTCCCAGGATCGTACCATCGGTCCGATATCGATCAACGCTACCCGTAATTACGTATTGTCTATACAAATGCCACATCCCCAGTGTCGATGCCCACTGCATTGCATTCAGAATTGCTTTGTGTACATAAATGCCATCATACCTCTCACTCCGCGTATCCTTGACCGGAAGTACGAAGACATACGATCAGATCTCACGGTTACAAGCACGAAAATTGTTTCCTCACTCAAATATTTATTTCCCCCAAAACATATCAAGCTTATGCCATTCAACAACTGATGAAATTGCATCTGATGAAAGGCATTTTCCCCGAAATAACGGTTATAATGCCGTGAATAATCCAGCAGGGGTATTTCACTGCTGCACATTGTTATGTACATCAGAAAATTTATAACTGAATACCTTGAATAGCAAAGGAACTTTTGAGTCAAAGGATAATAGAAAGCTGTAGAAATTAATCGCGTTAGTACGCTGGATACAGTGTTCATGTGACTCGTGTGGCAACATCATAATTTTCCGACAGTTCAGCTTGTTTCATACTATTAATCGAGTATTCAAAATTAACATTGCCACCTACCGCCCACATCTTCCATGGAAGCTCGCTCGGGCTGGTAATGGGAAGTACAGTTACTATATATGCAATGCTGTTTCAGAATTTTGCACTGCATCCCCCTGAGCGTAAACATTGTCTCGCTCTAACTCGCCCTCTCTCGCTCGCTCTGTCACTTCCCATTGACGTGAATTTGTGTTCCAGCGGCGTTATTAAATCACTGGGAATTTCAGTTGGAGAACAGAATTTCATTTGCGTCAAATTTCGAAACTGTGTCACGGTACGGTGTCGTGCAGGTGAAAATTGCTTTTTTTTTCTCGCAGAGGAGTTTTCGATGAGACCGTGCACGGAGTGGTGATTACATTTTTTATTCAGTTAGGTCGTAAATTGGGGTAGAGTGATGCTTTTAGGTGATTAAATTTGTTTGAATTTATTGGTTTTTTATGCCAGTTATCGACAGCTATGAAGTGGTTTTTTCTTGGAGTTTCTGTCTTACCGGCGGTGGGGAGTTATTACGTTCGGTCGGTAGCTTTAGCTACTGATGATGCGGAATGAATTGTATCTGACGAGCATAGTTCGAGATGTCTCATTTGAGTTTTCTATGAATTTTGTCGAGGCATCGTTAATGAAAATTGATGTTCAATCGAACCAATTCATTTCAGCTTTTAATTTTTTGAAATTATGTCTTTGTCGTGAGAATGTGCGGAGAAAATGCCATTGAAAAAAATGTATTGATTATGGCATGCCTCGGATTTGGTTAATCATGTTCCACATTGCCATGGGGGCATTCAGCATCATCAATGTGACACTTGCCTGCATAACTAGAGAATACTGACCAATTGTGAAAGCATGCGGAAATGATACATTATGCAGGGTTGCTCTAAATTCGATAGCGAAATATTAGGGCTACATTTAGGGGATAATTTTGAGTCCTTTGAAGTTGGTCGCTAAAATATATACTATATGCTCCTGTCAAAATAGGATAAGAATGATTACTAGGATCCTTTGATCAATCAAAAAAGAGTCTGTATGAAATGAAGTGAAACGATATATATGGAGGAGGCGGAGGAGGGCATCGTTATATCAGCGAATTTCACATAGACTTGTTGTTCGTTGAGTTCTGCTATTCCCCATTTTTGATAGAAGTGCATTTGATCGCAAAATTCCAGAGCTTTTTTAAACTCGATTCTGGTGACGTACAAAAACTGTAACTCATTTTAATTACTTAGATGACAGAATTATTATAAGTGTGTGATAAACTATTACAATGATTCGCTAGGGAATTATCATCCGGATTTTTTTCCAAAGAAACTGGAGTTATTCATATGTTAAGCTCCGCATGCTGAGTATAATAATTATATGAGATATGGTTGTACCTCCGTAAAAATTTCCTCATTCAATTTTTTTTATTATATAAATATTTTTATTACAAAGTAAAGTAGTTATTTACAAATCGAGCATGTAATTAGCATAACAATGGTGATGAGTGTATTTCTTGTTTGAGAATGTCCATTGAACGAGTAAAGGACTAATTTGATTCAAGCTCGGAAGCTGCGCAATTAACTTTCATTTTCCCATTAAAAAATTAAACAGATGTGTTTCAAAACATCATTGAATGATTAAAACTCTTGGATACATCGTTGATCAGCACAGCCTACAATTTTACGTATCAGTTATACGAAAGTCTGACCTCCATCGATAAAATTCACATTGATTAGAACAGATGGATAAAACTTTAGGAATAAAAATAAATTCTGAAGTACAAGTTTTCGGAAGAATAATTTCTTTTTAGGTATGAATTATCTCGTGTTTGACTTTGCGTTGAGTTTTGAGATGAATTCCGTCGCTTGATTGTCTCCTTTTCGATGTTCTAAGGCACGAATTACATCAGTAGCTGAAAATAGAAATGAAGATAAACAATATGCAATTTAAAATTCACAAGAAACAATGATTCATTTCTATTATTATAGAACACTCACTCTTATCGACAGGCCGCGATAACTTCAGATGAGTCTGGTCAAGTGACTCCAGTCCACGCTCATGCCCAGTGTCCTCGATCTCACTGAACGGAAGGAACGCTTCAGCCATGAATTTCGTTCTCAGAAAGTCCTTGTCCTTGACCTCGAAAACCACAATAGCATCTTCGATGCTTCGTTGTTCAGGAGTCAGGGGAATGTTGAAAATCTCATCAAAAAGTGGGAATAGCGTTTCTTTTTGCACATGAGTCTTTGGCATCTTAACATCGTAAAATTTCTCCTCGGGGAGAAGTCGAATCTTAACGTAGGGATCACATTTCCCTGCAAAACATCAAATAGTAAAATTATAATATCTAAAGGATTTCCTTACAAGGATTGGAAATCCCTACTGGCATGGATACATGCACGATGAGGCTTTTCTTTCCATTAAGTAATTCAGATAACAATGGCTCATAAAATTCGTAAATTCCATTGCATTCAATAATCTGATTGATGACCCTGGGATTCACAGCATTCAAATGGAAAATCTATCTTGATCGCCATTCATGCAGCCGTAAATTATCCCGATAGCTCCCCAGAGCAGAATTAACAAGCAAATAATTCTGTGATATTCATCGCGATTACAAGGGAATCTTAACAATTGTCATTGCATTCGCTACATACTTGGCTTCACCTCTTTCAGTCTTTGTTTAGTCTGTTTACTTTTCGAATGCAGTTTTCTCTCAAGAGTTGACAGCTTGCCTATAAAATCTCCTACAAAATCGAAACAAAAAAATAATTCAAAACCCATTCCACCCCACGCAAAACTCCCTTCAATCGACAAACTCATCTCTCCAGCTCTTCATCACTTTTCCCAAAGCAAAATTCCACCTTCCAAAAGACAAATACGTTCTGAATCTGCGTTGAATTTATGAAACGTCAAAGAATAAGTAAAGTCTGACTTCTATATTAACTTCATCATCATCTTGGAATGAAATCAGTAAGAAAGACCTATTGACATTTCCTTCCAAAATTATTGATTATCGTAAAGTCACATTTTCACTCGTTAAGTTCCACCTTTTCAACGCAGAAGAATGAATTTCCAAGTTTCAACTAAACTCACCATTACTATCCATAGCCTTGAGATTCCTAGCATTCAAAATCTGCACGACCAGAGAATTCTCCACAAAATGTGCCTTAACCGTCAACATTCCGTGTAGAGCGTCCTCCATCTCATTCTGTTCCTTGAATCTCTCCAGATGATACCGATGGATCAGCTCAGCAGTCTCCAATCCGTGCAGATTCAACAGCCGTTCAATCTTCTTAAGCACCTGAACATTCGCAGTCTCATCGGCGCCCAAATTGAAGAACCTAATTAAAGTATGAAGAGTCCTATGGAGATTCGAGTAGAAAGAGGGTGGTCTCCTCTTTTCCAAGTTGCTGTTGACCAACTGAAACAGAGTCTGAGACATGATCTCCCAGATGACGAGCAACACCCTCTCAAAATTGTCTTCATTAAGATTATCATGCAGCGTCGTGATGTTGGAGTCTAAATACTGAAGCAAGCGATCCATAGCATTGCTGGTAGTATCAATCAACTCGGCTCCTTCCATGAGGTACCTGCTCATTGCAGGCTGCATTTTGTTCGCCACAACCTCCAGCAGGTCAATGATCTTATTCTTAACGGTATCAGTAGCATTATCAATGATTAACTGAAGAGTTTGCCGACACCGATCAGCCTCTTGCTGAGTCTTGTTCTCTCCCAGCGTCTCGATGATCGTCTGCAGTCCCAGATCATTAGCCAATGGTGCAATCGAGGTTCTAATATAGTCAATATTATTAATGGCAAAGCACCAGGCAGTAGACACCTCAAACTTCTTATCATAAACACTACTATTATTCTCAGACTCTTGAATCTGTGTGTCTACCTTCTCCGCCTTAGCTGCCATCATATCCGCATAAGAAATCGAACATTTACAAATGTCATCAATAATTTTAGCGATGAATGTGTATGATCCCTCGACATCGGGCCACGCTAGTTGCGTCCAGAAGACTTTGATCTGGTAAAATATCGTTAACGTATCAACTGCACTTGAACTGTACTGTACGTTTGAGTCGACAGGTTGAAGGGTATCAAATTCAACAGCTCGGGAGATTCTCTTCAATGCTTTGTACACTGCTATATCCAACCAGTGGGCAACGCCAGCTCTAAACCACTCGTGATAACTCTGAATTTTTAAATGCTCGAGACCGTCCAGACAAAATACTGTCCCTAACACAGAGTATCTTTGGAGGGTCAGGTAGAGTTCAAAAAGAGTTGTGCCAAGAGTCAGGTCTGTATCGTCATCCTTTTCTAATTCGATTCTCTTGAGCCTGAGACAGACATCTTCGATTATGATCGTGCACATGTCACTGATTCTCTTCTCATAGTAGACGTACAAAGTCCTTGCGTATGGGAAGTTGACTTTCTTGATGAACATCCTGTCATAGACTTCTATCGCTCTCTGGAGATCTGCTCTGATTAACTGGATTACTTTGATGTGGAACTTCAATGCGTCGTCATCCGTGTCAGCTTCGGGCGCATTGTTATTAAGGATGTGATCGAACCATTCGGCCCCTCCTTGGATCACGGTGTATTCTAATCCCTTTATGACATCTACTGGGGTTCCATCCGGCTCTGGAAACCATCCAAACATCTTTGGAGGGAACAAGTCAAAGTCTTTTGGGATTTCCAGAGAAGATATCGACGAGAGGATCCCTAAAATGGCCCCCATTTGCGCCATGACGTTTTTGTCTCCAGGAGCCAGTCTTCGAATCTTTCTGATGCTGTTCAGGCAGGAGTAGATGATCTTCTTGGTGGCGTCCCAGAAGAGTCTGGTTTCGTCACTTGAAAAGAGGGAGTTTTCGAGGGGTCTAACTAATTCAACTGCGAGTTTATTGAAGACTGCAAAGTTTAACGGATGTTGCTGATGAATTCTAGAGTATTCAACCCATTGGGCCAGGGCTACGATTCTTGCAAGGAGTCCTCTCTGCGCTGAATGTTGGAGGATAAGGGCTTCTGCCGGGGCTGACCACCTCCCACACCAGCAATACTTCTCCAACTTTTCGGTTTCGAGTTCGTGAAGAAGGAGGATTCTGATGAGGTGTCGGTGCTCTTGAGCTGCTACTTGAGTATTGTGTTCTGCACTGAAGGCTAGTCGGAGTCTGACGACTCCTCGACGCTTCGATTTGTTTTTCTTCTCGAGGGCGTACCACATCGTGTGGCCTGTCACTGGGATGTCTCGTAACGGGATTCTACTTCGGCCGATGAATTCGTTGTCGTGGCTGCCAGTTGTGGCCGTAACTGCGATCTCTTTCGCGAGTTTGACGAGACCTCGGACTCCTTTGACGTCTTTCACTTTGCTCATCTTCTCTGGGACGGTTTCTGCTGCGTCGAAGTCCCAGACTTCTAGGCAAAGGGTGTCGTTTTCAGCATCTTCTAGAGGTCTGGAATGAGAGATATTTATGGCATATTTATTTTGGTTTCGGTCGGTTGAGGGATGTAATATTGTTGTGAAATGATGCCAACAGAGAAAAACAGAGAGAGGGTTGTGAATTTGGAGGAAGATTCTCTAAATGCTTCATTAGAAGATAAGGTGATATCTTTAATAATAGTTTTGATTTGAATTATTTTTGCAAAAGGATGAATGAAACTAAGAAAGGAATAGTGTCGAATTGATTGTTTCATCGTCAGTATTCTTGGATGAAAGCATTCACAACTCTTTATTAACTTAATACCCGAGGAGTTGTGCATTAGCAGCACTGGAGGGTCAAGCAAAACTAATTTTAGGAGGGAAAAGAACCATTTCTTCATAATCATGTTAAAACCAATAAAGAATTAATAGGATATATTGTATTATGGATAGGATACACAACAAAATTATCTTATGTGTTTAGATAACAGGAGTATCTCCCCTATGTTCTGTTTCAACTGCGCACTTACAGTTCGAAATGTTCTTCCCAAATTGGTGCTAACGTTGCTGTCTTCACAGCTGTGTTGTACCTCCTGGTAGGAGCTGATTCGAGATAGAGTGCGCAGAACGGGTCACTCTTGCCATTGGAATCCTTGGAGATGAGTTCCTTGGCTTCGATCACTTCGACATTCAGGTGCATCACGGGTGCCTGAATATACCGATCGTAAACAATTATATTATCAAACCAATCACACCATCGAGCCAGTGTTAATCATTCATTTAGTTAATCGAACGAAATGACTTCAAATTCATTTATTACTAAAAAAATATCTACAAAATGAAGTCATTTCGCAAAATTTGTTTTCAAGAAACCTTTTTTCGAATTAAGTGAATCACTTTCAAGAGCCCATTTCGACGAATCTATTTGAAGCTACTAATGCCAAAAATATTTTTCAAAAATTTGAAGAGCTGGGTACAATATTCATTAGCAAATTATTATTGTTGATGTCTTTAAATATAAATGGTTCAGAAAAATTCACCATGAGACGGTGTACAAAGTACACTGTCTCTTTTTTTTCTCAAGTACACTGAGAGAAAAAATTACCTTATACCACAAAACGAATTTTTTCAGTCAAATATATCATCTTCAGGGGCGAATGATTTGGAACAAGATTTCTGAATAATAATATAGGACATGTACAAATTTTGTGAACTGTTCATGACTTGAACATGAACACCTCACGATGAATTGAGAATGTCTTAGTTTCAGAAATAGTTGTTTTTCATGTTAAACGATCGGAAAATGACTTAAAATACTAAAAGCTTCGACGTACTGAATCACGAATCATGGGCTTTCATATCGAATGAATGCAAAAGCCATGCAAAAGAAAATCCTCAGATATTCTAGAAAAACGACCGTCATTTGCTCTTGAACGCAGTGAGTTAAAAAATTAAATCATCTAATTTTGTTATTTTAAACTTTCATCCTTATATCGAAAATATTACCTTCTTTCGATAAGGAAATAGTATTCAATTTTTTAGTTAGTATTATACTGCTTACGAAAGAGCCCCGTTTTCTTCTCTGAAACCTCTCGCGGGTTGATCGAATATCTTTGCTTTTAAATTTCGCCTATTCCTCCAGGCCATTTCGCGGTTTTCAGCAATTTCGCGTTTTCTCGTGGTTCTCTCTAAATTTGTTATGGAATTTTTAAGTAAAATTCTTTTTCTTTAAATATATGGAAATTTGATAAACTGCCCTGATGAGAAGTTGATGTACCATTTAAAACGTTCGCAAATTAGTGGAAAATTATAGTTTATTTCATTTTTGGTTATTAAAATTGTTGAAAACAGCGAAATGGCCTGGAGGAACTGGAAGAATTTGAAAGTTCATGCTGGCGATTGGAGTATTAATTCTGTTAGAGTATTTATGCTGTTTTCTTAGTTCAATAAATTATTTTTGTGATATTCGGTTGTTTATTCTTTCAGTGTAGATGACCTACAAGTATAATCACCTGACAAGTTCCCCAAAACTTTGTCTATTCCCAAAACTTTTCACCCTCACTCACCTCCATATTTCGTGTTTCCTCAAGCACTTGCTCGTGCATCTCATTATCCACTTTGAACGCCTGCTGCAGATGATTAAGAAGTGCATCAACTCCACACTCATTGGAAACATCATACCCAATCTGATGTTGAGTCATGTAAACCAGAGCTGCATAGAGTTCCTCAATCTGAAACCCAGAAAAGGCCCAATAAAATCTCAAAATTACTCAACATACCAGATGTATGATTGATTCCTCCAAAGTAGCAGCAATATATCACAAATAGATTTATGTAACCACACTCAAGGAGTTATCAGTATCATCAACTTGCTTAGTGGGTCAATGGTTTATCGTAGATGGAACCGTCGAGGCATTAGATTGATAAGCAAATGTTGATTTTAGCCATTGCATTTGCTTCCAGCCATTTTCTTTGACTCACCGTCATAGCCTGAAGAATCGCATTGGTCTTGCGCTCTAGTTCTGCCTTGGGAATACCCCGGAAGGTGTTCCTACTTCGGGTTATAGTACACATGCCGTTGAGGTTCCTCGTCACGACCATTGTGTTCAATTTTCTACTGTCTATTGCACATTTCATGGGACGACACTATCTAAACTCCGATTCACAATTGAATTTAGCACTCAATCACGTCGAAATCTTTGAAACAATTTTCTCATCTAATTCCCGATGATCAAGGATCGTTAATACTTTCTTACGGCTCATGGAATACGCTGACACTTGAACTATTTATCTGAAGAAAACAAATGGACTCTAATATGTGCACGTGCTCGACAGCCCAGATTCATTTGGGATTAGGTGACGGTTCTGTTGTCTTGAGCACTTAAGATTTTCCGGAGATTCAACTTTGACCGATTGATTAGACGAACCAACTGGTAGGCGGGAATCACACAAATGCAACGGGGAAATTCAGCGATTTACAGATCCATCGGGTTTTTACGAGAATGAACTGTGGAGTCGACCTTTACGGTCGATAATACGGACACGACCTCCCTCACCCCGTTCCTTGCATATCCGATTGTGTTGGGTGTTTTAATTAGCTTGTGACGAATGAATTTATTAAAGTATCGTGTAATTGCCAAAAAGGGGAGAGATGAATTGAAAACGATTTTTTTGTTTTTTTCTGATTATTTGGAAGAATGAGAATCAATCATCAAATATACTCTATTTTTTGTATTCATTTGAATGATAATTCCAATTATTATGATTATCGATAACTGATGATAATGATAATAATAATAATAATTAGTCCGTTTCATACTTCATATTCATGAACTTGCTCACTGTTGAATGCCACATGGACTTAATTTGTTTTTACACTCCAATTTAACTCGTTTATTTTTTCAATGAATTGTGTCGTGAAACAGTGAATAACAAGATCGTTTTTAAATGAAATTATTCCGCCAATGAGTGGTACAAAGAAATGCTATTAAGAGATATTTTTTCGTGGAATCTTTTGCAGCTTCACGAAAGATCAATTGACATTTTGTCTCGGAATCACTCATTTTTTTAAATGAATGTATATGTAAGGATAACAAAGTCCTTTGGGATTTTTTTTATTATAATCTCTCCTATTGGAGTTGAACGTCACAGCCGGAGATTTTACAATGATTTAATTAGTTGAACATTTTAATGTCAAAAGTTTATTTCCGGGCTTGAAGCGTTAAAAACTATTTTAAAAATTGAAAGCAAATCATCTTTTTTACCGTACAAATTATTTTTAAAAAACCATACTGAACTTATTTTTACTTCAAAATGGACTCGATAATAAAAAACTGATTTTTTCAGAAGTTGAAACAATCCCATCCATTCATAAAAGAAAAATATTTGAACAAAAAATATAATGACACGATACAATGATAAAAGAAATTTTTTATCATGCCAAAGAGTGTAAAGTCTATCATATTATTGTCACGCAATCTCATCGGAAAATGTGTTATCTGAGGATCTTAAAATTTCCGTCGGTTTGGATTGCTTGAAGAAAAATAGAAAATTTAAATTTATCATTTGTTTCCATTCCGTAATTTTACACGAAAATCAATGATAATTTTTCTGTTTCCCAGTTTTTTTTTTCGCTTTGCTCAACTGAAAATATAATTGAAGCATCAAAGAATCGTGAGAACGCGGCAGTAGTTGTCTCCAAATACTTGACTCACTGCCATCACAACAGAAATAAAAAAACATCGAAAACTATTCTTTTACTCGAGTTTAATTTGAGTTTTTTTATCTGCGAATGAGTTGTGCGTGTTTAGCAGATCGATCCATTGGCTGAAATCCCCTCGATTCTCGTAATTTTTGGCAATCAACAGGTAGAAGTGTTTCATGGGCAGGTGTACAACTCAAAATTCTAGATATTAGCGCTTCTATCTGGGCCGCATCCCGTTTAAACTCGCAAAACTCGTGCTGTAACCGTGTCGCGTTCATATGCTCCTACAATTGTATTCAATGAAAGTTGATATGTCGACAATTAACTGATTGAACATCAAGGCATGTCCAGACATACCAACAACCCGCTCTACATTTAAAAATTTTCCCCGTCGAGTTATTTTTACACCGATAATTCCTTCAACCGTTATGCAATGGACTAATTTTACCTCGCCGTTTTCTACTTCAGAGACTTCGTGCGAAATATTTATATTCATTTCAACTGAATGACCCAGGTGTCAGGAGCACCAACGAGCCTAATCTACCGCCTGGACCGTTCAATGCCGAAGTGGAAGTGGTTGATGATGATGAAAGAATTTGCCGGAGGAAGGTACAATCAGCCCGACGAATGAACCGAAAACATAAATGATAATTTCGTAAAGTGCTTTTAAACTCCATCTTCATTTTCCCAATGAATCAACCAAGACGAACCAAGACTTGCCAAGATTCCGATCAAATTCAATGGTGAAATGGAATAATTATTTAAGTCGAACATTAAATTTCTAGGATCGGCGTTTTTCTGAGAACTAGTGATTTTTCGATGAAATCATTATTAAGGATATACAAGTACTTTGGCTATTTTCCCTCCAGTGAAAAGGTTTTCTACTCTTGTAGTCGAACATCAGAGCTTTCATTTGAGCCCCATTTGACCCCAAGTTTCCGGACATTTTGCAATGGTTTTATTAGTTGAGCTTTGAATTTCAATCGCGATATTGAATGGTTGGGAAACATTTTAAAAATCTGAAAAAAATTAGAAAGTTTACGTTTGGAGGAAGGTGGATGAAATAAATAAAAAATTACAATTTTTTAAAATCACAAGCATTTCCTATAGATAATTTGTAAACAATTAATTTTCCACCATAAAAATCATTTGGTCGGAATTGTAATAAATTTATTCATACTCAAAATATTACCAGAAATCAATTTCATCCCTAAAAAACGGTTTCCGAAAGTTTAAATAATTCCAATTATTTAATTATAAACAACGGATGTTTAAAGAAACAATAATTCTGTGCAAAATGTAATTTGAAAGTCACTGAATATTCATGATTTTTGTCAAATTTTTCTCACGTAATTTAAATGTTCTAAAACGTGTCAGTCAAAAATTTCATTGTAGCATGAAAGCGTAATTAATTGTGCATTTATTCCTTAAACGAGTGGCTTTCTCGAAACTTTTAAACATCTCATTTACATCTGCAAAAAATTTGCAGAAATAATTTCCCAATGATGTAAATGTGCCGAGCTCCAAAAATAAAAAATTCCAGAACAGCCCTAACTCACACCAACACTTGTATTTATTGACCAAACGAGTAAGAATTCTAAGAAGTGTTATTCAAAAATTTCAATGGGGCTGGAAAGCGTAATTAATTGTGCATTTATTCCCTAAACGCATGTCCTTTTCAAAATTTTGAAATATTCTGTTTGCATCTCAAAAAATTTGCACAGATAATCTTCAAATGATCTAAATGTACCAAGCTCCAAAAATAAAAAATTCCAGAACCGTCCCAACTCACACAAACACTTGTATTTATTGACCAAACGAGTGAGAATTTAAAAAATTATCATTCGAAAATTTCAGTTGGGCTGAAAAGCATAATTAATTGTGCATTCATTTCCTTTAAACGCGTGCTCTGCTCAAAATTTTGAAATATCCCCTTTGCATTTGGAAAGATTTGCAGAGAAAATTCCCAAATGATGTAAATGTGCCGAGTTCCAAAACTATCAAAATTCCAGAACGCCCTTGAATCCTACAGATATTTGCATTTATTGACCAAACGAGTGTGATTTCTAAAAAGTGTCATTCGAAAATTTCAGTTGGGTCGGAAAGCGTAATTAATTATGCATTTATTCCCTAGACGAGTGCCTTTCTCAAAATTTTGAAACACCCTGTTGGTATCTGAAAAAATTTGCAGAGATAATCTCCAAAGAATGTAAATCTGTCGAGCCCCAAAAGTAAAAAATTCCAGAACAATCTCAACTCCCACAAACACTTGATCCATCTTTTGTCACCCACTTGAGCAAATAACCGGTAAAGATCATGAAGAGTAATCTCCTTAAACCGCTAATCTCACTGACACAACACAGATTAAATAATGACAAATTTAAACGAGCATCTCTGTATCCTGGCGCACGTGTCAGAATGCACTCATTCACTGGTTTATCCTCCAGCGAGAGGATTATCAATCACGGACCGAAGGAGCATGAAGAAGAAGAAATCAACGAAAAGACAAATCGAGAAGACGAGACGAAGTCGGACTGAACACTGCTAGGAATAGCCAATGCTTCAAACACCGACTCCTCGTGGTGGTGTTGCACCACGTACGTCACACGAACGCAAGCGCAAAAACCCGAATCATCCCGAGTCGGGAGTGATTACAATTCCCCGTTCATCCCCACCTAGTACCCTTGGCCCGCCAAATTTATAGCCGACATTTCTCTACATTCGAAATTCTACTGTCTCCTGGAATAGCTACCCTTGAAACGGATCTCAATTCATTGTCGCGGTTACAGTTGTTATCCGAGAGACTCGTTAAAGTTGAGTATTATCTAAGCCGACATTCACAAAAAAAGTTTCATGGAAAAATCTAACGAACGTGAAGAAAAATTTTTGAGAAAAATTACTGAACATGTCAAGTAATCGTGGAGCAAATTCGGTTTCAGGACTTTTTGACCAGAAATAGGGGGAAAAAGTGCGAGATTAATAGTGATTTTACTCCGTTGGCCCGGGAGAATTTGTTGAACGTGAAGG